AAAAAAAAAAAAAAAAAAAAAAAAATCATGCATCTGGTTCCATTTGAATTCGAATTCGAATTCGTTATTATGTCAACGGTCCATTCATGTACCGTATTCACCCGAATAGAACACCCAGTCGTCATTCGCCGTATTGGTGCAGTTTTCAGGTCAGATACAGCGTGAATAGAACGCCCAGGCGTCATTCCTCGTATTTGGTGCAGTTTTCAGGTCAGATACAGCACAGCTATAATGAACGACGGGGCGTTCTGTTCGGGTGAAGACCGTAGGCGCGTTGGGATGGTGCAGAAGTTTTGCGTGGGAATGGATTGCATTTTGTGTATTTAATTTCGGTCTGTATTTCACCGGAATAGAAGGCCCAGGCATTAGTTGCCGTAATTGGGGCAATTGTCAGGCTCGATGTAGCTGTAATGACCGGGCGTTCTAGTCTGGTGGAGACGGTAGGCTTGCCGGTATTATGCGAAAGTTTTGTGTGCGAATGGATTGCTATTGTGTGTATTTTTTACTACGATTTGTGAGGAGACTTTACTCCATCGATCATGATGATGCATCGTCCATGTCCATAGATCCGATCCGTGCGGACAGGTAATCACTCCATACACACATGGAAGTCAATTTCCTCTTCTTCCACTGGACACAGCAGAATGGCCTAGGAAATCTCCGCAAAAGCTCAACGAAATCTCAACGAAGTTTCAAGGAAACCTCAAGGCAAACACACCTCTGACCACACTTGTGTGACAAAATCACAGATGATACATGTCGAATACTACCGTCTTCCCCCGAACATAACGCACCCTAAAAATGAATGTATACAAGCTATATTTCCGGCCAGATACAGCCAAAATAAGGGTGCGTTGTGTTCGGGGGAAGACGGTAGTATACATGGTGACTATGTGTTCTTATATTCGAGCAAGCATGTAGTGACTATGTGTTCTTATACTCGAACACGTAGTGACTATGTGTTCTTATATCCGAACATGTAGTGACTATGTGTTCTTATATTCGAACATGTGCGTGCTCACCGCACACTTGCACATTCGAAAAGGCAAGTGACACTTCCCATGAAACTTCCAAAACTGCAAGCTCGATCACTCACTCGCTGGTACCAGACATGCAAATCAGACTTCAGCAGAGTCCCGTTCCTCTGCACCTGGTCACTTCGGGCCATGCAGCCGAAGTCCAAGGCGGGCGCCCTGGCCAATAAGGCCATCCCCAATACAAAGGAAGGGAAAACTACTACCGTCTTCACCTGAATAGAACACCCGGTCATTATAGCTGTATTTGGCACAACTTTCGGTCCAGATGCAGCGATGATTACCGGGCGTTCTATTCGAGTGAAGACGGTGGGTAGGGCGCAGTCAAGGTTTTCAGTTTTTTTTTTTTCACTTTTACATGCGGTTAAGTCACGGTTTGGACAACAATTTTTTTAGTATTTTTACTCCAAAGCGAGGAAAATCGTGAATTAGTTTTCACTTTTAGATGCGGTTCAGTCACTTGTTTGATTTGATTCTGTTGAGAATGAGCTCTTTTTTTTTCTTTTTTTTTTGGAAGAATCATCAGTGCAAGGAAAATAAGTAACAGCGAGATGACAATTCCAGATCACACCATCACATTGAAAGCCAAATAGTCACACCGTGTCCAGATAGCAGCATTGCACCAATAATACACCAATGGAGTTTCGTAGCACTGAAAACCAATGTCCGTGGAGAGCACACTCTCTCCTCTCAACAAAAGAGTCCGGTTCCCTTACACTCACACTTGGCGCTCAGCGCCCAGCCTACTCCTACACAGCTACTACAGACTACAAAAAGACAATGCAACTGTTGACATCAGCGGCAGCCCAAAGTACTTGAAGATGTCGCCCATGCAGACCATCACCAATACAAGGTAAGTGCCCTCACATCATCATCATCATCATCATCCTTCACCTATCCCCTGACTACTCCCACACCTGTCCTCTCTGTCACCCGAAGACCACCCCTGCGCTTCACTGTAGTCCAAGCCCACCAGCTATGGTGGCTGGGCTATGGCGCTGCCCTCAGCAGCGCCCTACTCCTCTGCACGACCACACGTGCTGCACCTCGCCTCTCAGCGCCAGCCAGCAGCCGTGAGCCTTTGCTCCAGCAGCGCTGCCGCTAGCATGCGAGTGCCTGAATGAGGCTG